GTTTTGAAATGTAATAATCAGCTGTTATTCAAATATTGTCTAATTATATAACCAGAATGTGTACTTGTGAAAAATAAAATATTGCAAATTTCTAGTTTTTTTGCAGGTTTTAAGTTTGCTGGTAGCTTTACGACATATATTTGGGTATTTCTTAATCGCTGAAAATATAGTGTGGATGTTTGTTCAGTTCCTGAACAACGAAAAATATTCAACTTCATGGTTGTATGGATATCAAAAAACCTGAATGGTTTTGTGGGAATATCAATCTAAGGTGTCATAATGGTTCTGATGAACGGCAAGTAAATGAATGCATTTTTGGAAATGAGCAGTATCTATGAAATTTTTGGTAGAGTCTGTCATCAAGTAGGTGTTTAATGGCTATCTGCATGAGGTTTATAGGAAAAAAACACGGGAGGTGATGTAAAATTGTGACGCTTCCTTTCCGCAAAAAGTCCAGAAAAGATGGAATGCAATGAAGATTCCAACTTTTCTGCACAATCACAGAAAGGGGGTTACAATTAGCTTCCGGTAGCTCAGTCGGTGGCATGAAGACATCTACAGGCGTGTAGCTGTGTGTCGACCATGGCATGGCTAGAGGATAGAAGAACAAACAGAACACAAAAATTTAACAGATTTTATTTAACAAAAAAAAAAAGGCATTTTCATTACATTACAATTTTACAAAAATAACAAAATAAGTTTTACATCTTTGCCGCTGCTATAACGCTATCGACTTATCTTTCGCTGGTCCATTTTTACTCGACTGAAGCCAGGATGGCCAGGGGCTTGAAGGGGAGGTCCCAGTTGTGAGGGGTGACCTCACATATAGTGGCTTCGTAACCAGTTGTAGGCGAAGTTAAAGGCGATGGCGCTGCCAAGGCACATGCATGGGTGAAAATATTGGCCAAGGCTAGGCAAAGTGAAAGGGAAAGAGAAAGGGGGTGGCCCCAATCTGAAAAAGAACCGTGTGCATTAGCAACGTGCCCTAATGGCCAAGGCATTTCCAATCTCAGTCTGCCTCAAAAAAGAACCAACGATTTTCTAGGTTAGAATTACATTATATAGTTTGATAAAATCAAACCGAAAATTGGAAATGCCTTTCATAAAATAAAATCATGAAATAGCAAAAAAAAGCGTAGAACAAGATGGTGGTCATCAAAAATTTCTCCACATGCTTCTGATATAAAAACATAATCATCGAATATTCATAATCAACGTACTTATAATTTCACTGAACTATGAATATATATACGCGCACAGAGGTAAAATCGATGTGGATCGATTTCCACCTCGATTTGATTAAAGTTATGGCGAATGATCGAAGTAGTCGAAAATGACGTTCGATGGATATTTTAAAATCGTACAAGACATAAATCACTTACATATCGATTATCTATAAACTACAGGCAGATCCAGCAATAAAACTGTATAGTATTATAAAACTCACCATTTTTGTCCTATACGGACACACATTCTAGAAAATTCTAGCACATGGTGCTATATAACCTTGTGCTACTGAGAAGAAATTTCTAGCCGTTGTTCGATCGGCGGCTCAGGTGAAAAGGAAGCGCGAGGAAGATCGCAGATCAGGAACTCCGCATCAAGCGCTCCAAGCGGAAAATTTTCCAAGCAAAAAAGCTAGAGATGGGATTAATGAAATGATAATCGAGAAGTGATTTAATAAATACGATCGGACGGTGAAACCGTTACAAAATCAGTAAAATCGCATATCAATTGAAGAAAATAATATAAACATGAATAAAAAATCAACAAGAGTAATTAAAACATGAATTTTATTCAAAAATCAAACATTTCTTTAAATTTTGACCGAATTATATATAATTTCTTAATAATCAATAAGCTGGTGATGTGTCAAGGACAAGCTATCGTCTCATACATAGACAACATTTTGTTTTCAACATGTCATAGGTATTGGTTGCTGAAATTTGTTGATTGGATGTTGAAGCTGATTCGCTGTATTTGACCCTATAGGTGGAGAATAAGGGACTGTTAATTTGATAACCTTGGTGAAATCCACCCTTAAAATCGCATTAAAATACACATGGCAAGAGCTGATCAGTGTCACGTTCACAAACACAGCTAACATTGAAAAATGTCAGTTAAGTGATTAGAATTGTTTCCAACGTTAGAATAATGAGGCTTAAGTGTTGTGATCTTTGCCAAAGAGGATAAAGGGTACTGTCCTTACTTATGAATTTTAGGTATACAGCTGTCTCAATAAGTACTTTCTGATTTTGTTTTTGATTCAAACCAAATGCAAGGGTCCATCCTATAGATTCCCATAGAAGCCTTGCAGATCTCTCTTCATCCCACAGCGTCAATGCAGGCATTTCCCAGGGATCAGTCTTGGCTCCCACATGGTTCCTCTTGCAGGAATTCATAGTGACAAATGGATCTGTGCCACTAACAATGGCTTCCTTTGTGACGAGCGTCCTGGAAGTTAGCACTGCTTGGAAACGCAACAATATGATACAGTGTAGATGCTCCCAAAACATAATACTGTACGTTGACTAACAAAATGTCGCCAATTTAATTCCCTAAACCTCTATTTTGCGACACCATTTTTCACAAACATAACCAGGATATCAGCATGACGATGACAAAAGGTGAGACAAATCCTGCTGATAATCTATTATTAATGAGATTCTATAATTGACTTAAACCTAGTATTCCATCAACAATATTTCTCAATACCCGATGTTTAAGATCACCTCGTATTCAATTTAATCGTAATAAAAGTGCCACGAAAACCACCGACTGAACACAGTTGCGATTGTAATTATTATAATAACGTAGCGGTAATTAAGATGATTCAAACTAGAAAGAGGAAACTTTTGAATTATGTGTATAGTGCACGTGAACGGAGAAAATTACCAGGATGTTTATATCTATCCTGTTGTTTTTGTTGGTAAATCCCCAAAATGGTATGATCGGCAGTTTTAAGCTTGAACAGAAATTATTTGCCAAAAGGCTGGAAGGTATTCGTATCAGCTTATCGCAAAAATACAATTTCCGAAAGTACTCAAATTTATTGACGTTTTGTAGGGAATTTGGGTTACAGACGAAAAGTTTGTCTCATGATCAGAGCTCGATGGTAGACCGATGGTATAACACATGGTAATTCTGGTAAATAAATAAAAGAAAACCATTATAACCTAGATCTGTTTAGAATATTATGATTCTTATACTTATCATTTAAAAAATCTTGCCTGCTTCAACATTATACATACATGTCACTTTATTAGATATACATAAAAATATAAACAACTGCTTCATCAGCAAAACCTATACTAAGTGACATATAAATCCGAACACCCAGTTTAAATGGTTTTATTTTAATAAAATTTTGTATAAGTACTTAATGAAGCATAATAAGTAAATGATAAAAATTTCAAAATGATTGCACTGCTTTAAAGCGCTTTGACCTTTAATAATGTGTGGATGCACCCTGATGTGCTACGCATTCTCCAACGCGCCTAGGCATGCTTCTGATCAGGTGGTCAATGTCCTCCTGTGGTATCTCATTCCAGGCAACCACCAACTCCTCTCGAAGTAATTCTAGAGTCTGAGGAGGACGTTGCAAATTGAGCAATCTCCTGCCCATCATATCCCACACGTGCTCAATTGGGGATAAGTCGGGAGATCTTGGTGGCCATGGTAACAATGTGACATCATTATGTTGAAAGAAGTCTATTGTGACTCTTGCAACATGTGGTCGGGCATTATCTTGTTGGAAAGTTGGATCTGCCAGGGTGTCAAGATAGGGTAAAAGAACTTCGTGGATATAACGCTGCGCATTCATGTTACCTCTGATGAAGATTAAAGGTGACCTGGAACCATAAGCTATAGCACCCCAAACCATAACTCCAACAGTGTGATGAACATGTCTTTCAACAAAAAACTGTGGATTCCTCCTTTCACCACGTCGCCTTCTAACCCTGGCACGACCATCGTGCATGCCTAAACAAAATCGAAACTCGTCACTAAAGACAATACTGTTCCATTCCTGATCCCAGAGTGACCGTTGTCTGCACCACTCAAGGCGATTACGTCGGTGTTCTCGAGTTAAAGGGAGGACCCAGTGTGGCCGGTATGAAAACAAGCCAAAACTTCTCATTCGTCGGTAAACACTTCGCATGCCAATAGGTCTGCAAACCATTCATTTGCAATGGACCTGGTAGTGGAGAAACGGTCCCTTAAGGCCAATAATCTTAGGCGGCGATCTTCACGGTCTGTTGTTCTACGGCGGCGTCCAGTGCCCCTTGCTCTTTGCGTACGGCCTTCTCGAAGCCATGCCTGACAACACCTAACCACAGTGTCTACACTTCTTTGCACTCTAACTGCAATTGCCCGAAAATAAAGTCCAACTTCCCGAAGTCCCGCTATACGGCCCCTATCGAACTCACTAAGTTGACGAAATCGTACAGGTCTCCGTACTCTAGGCATCGTAACCGATCGTAAAGGATGTGAAGAACCAAAATCCGCCAACGTTGATTCTTTACTGCGGCTGAAATATTCATTTTTAGAGCGTTAGTGAATTGAAAAAAAGCAGTATAAAAACCGGAATGTCCAACTGATGAGGCTGAAAATTTTTTCACTTGTTATTTACAGTAAGATAAATACATTCACCAACTTTTATTAAAATAAAACCATTTAAACTGGGTGTTCGGATTTATATGTCACTTAGTATATAATATTCATATACAGGGTGTAGTAGTTGTTTGAAGCACATGTGTCCAATTCATCATGTAGCGCTACACGAACCCACAACGTGTCAGTATTGTTAAAACGTTTTACTTAGACATACTAAACATGCTGCTTTCGTCCATCCGCCCAAATATAGCCAACAATGAACAGCTGTTTCGTGCTTTTTGGCAACTCATCAGTAAGGTTTAGGCTTGGTCTCCGGGATTACGAATGAAAACATATCAACTACCCTCTATCCAAGATGTAAGATATATCGAAATGCGAAAAACGTACTATTCCCAGGCTACGGTAAAGAAGTCGCATTTTTCAGCATATGCGGTAAATGGATGACTTGCACCTAACTTAAGATAATAACTATCATCATCACTCCATCCTTTGCTCCTAAATCGATCGCGACCTAATATACGCTCTAACAGTACCGCGTTATTGATGACGACGATGGGGCGTACGACCTCGCCATAACAGTGTCGTACCTGAAAGCTCCTAAACGGTAGAGCATAAAATGGTACTTCAGTAACTAGTAATAGTTGCATTTCTTTGTCTTCGCTCATTTTTTCTGCTTCTTCCACAGACGCGTCAGATGAAGTATCAACCATAACCACTTGCAACGTCAAGGAAAGTTGAATACCTACATTGCAACTTAGCTATAGTTAAAGTGTATAGGTAAATTTTTATACTCTATCTTTGATATTTACATACCCAAATATAAATCTTTTAGTCATAAATGTCCTTCGTGGTACACCAGTGGAATTATTAGGAACGCCAAGCATAGAGCAAAGTTATACTAAGTGACATATAAATCCGAACACCCAGGTTAAATGGTTTTATTTTAATAAAAGTTGGTGAATATATTTCAGCCTTATCAGTTGGACATTCCGGTTTTAATACTGCTTTTTTTTAATTCACTAACGCTCTACGATGCCTAGAGTACGGAGACCTGTACAATTTCGTCAACTTAGTGAGTTTGATAGGGGCCGTATAGTGGGACTTCGGGAAGCTGGACTTTCTTTTCGGGCAATTGCAGTTAGAGTGCAAAGAAGTGTAGACACTGTGGTTAGGTGTTGTCAGGCATGGCTTCGAGAAGGCCGTACGCAAAGAGCAAGGGGCACTGGACGCCGCCGTAGATCAACAGACCGTGAAGATCGCCGCCTAAGATTATTGGCCTTAAGGGACCGTTTCTCCACTACCAGGTCCATTGCAAATGAATGGTTTGCAGAACACGGAAGACCTATTGGCATGCGAAGAGTTTACCGACGAATGAGAAGTTTTGGCTTGTTTTCATACCGGCCACACTGGGTCCTCCCTTTAACTCGAGAACACCGACGTAATCGCCTTGAGTGGTGCAGACAACGGTCACTCTGGGATCAGGAATGGAACAGTATTGTCTTTAGTGACGAGTCTCGATTTTGTTTAGGCATGCACGATGGTCGTGCCAGGGTTAGAAGGGGACGTGGTGAAAGGAGGAATCCACAGTTTTTTGTTGAAAGACATGTTCATCACACTGTTGGTGTTATGGTTTGGGGTGCTATAGTTTATGGTTCCAGGTCACCTTTAATCTTCATCAGAGGGAACATGAACGCGCAGCGTTATATCCATGAAGTTCTAGAACCCCATCTTTTACCCTATCTTGACACCCTGGCAGATCCAACTTTCCAACAAGATAACGCCCGACCACATGTTGCAAGAGTTACAATAGACTTCTTTCAACATAATGATGTCACATTGTTACCATGGCCACCAAGATCTCCCGACTTATCCCCAATTGAGCACGTGTGGGATATGATGGGTAGGAGATTGCTCAATTTGCAACGTCCTCCTCAGACTCTAGAAGCACTTCGAGAGGAGTTGGTGGTTGCCTGGAATGAGATACCACAGGAGGACATAGACCACCTGATCAGAAGCATGCCTAGGCGCGTTGGAGAATGCGTAGCACATCAGTCACTTAGTATATATAAGAAGTATAAAAAGAGTCCCATCAACCATATACGTCAAGAGTACTAAGGTCTTGACCTGACGTAAAGCGTCAAATATATGTGGCGTGTAAAAATAATTCACATATGTTGAGATTTCACGGACAAAAAACGTAGGAATTCAAAAACGTTTTTTGACGTTTTGACATTTTTGGGGGTTAAAAATTCGTGGTTTTGGTTGTAGGGGTGGGGGACAATATTTCTCACCTTTTCCCCGTAGTATATTCTATACGTACGTTCGCTCTTGAAACTTGAAGGAACAACAAATGCACTTGTCGCGTCCAGGTCGCCCTTGCCAAGCACTACGAACTTACCACGGTGCGCACACTGCTCGAGCTGGCCAGCATAGCATCGCTGACGTTGCCAGATTGTCGATACTTTCAGTGAGGGCAGGGAAGAAAGTTTTTAGGTCGCAGCTTCATCAAATGGGATAATAATCCTTTATGAATCGTTAGGGTTGATCAGTCAACCTAGTTGACGCCATTTTTTAACGTATTGTGGTCTAAAAAGCAAGGTGATAAAGGTTCTATATTCCTGTTCCAGATAAGGGTCTTAACTGTTACAATGTTGCGATCAAATTGCAAATACGTTGTACTGTTGTAGTGTTCAGTTTGTTACGCCGCTGTACTCCATATGAGTAATGCATTATAGTTTCCAAGGAAGCAAGGCTTCATGTTAGTTTCATCTGAAGAGTGTTTCACCTCTCGCTGGCACTGCATATCCACATCCACCCACAATCACTCGACGAACAGCTTTCTAGAATTCCAGTCGGGTTCCTGGAAAAAATGGAGTGACGTGACGACATTGCAGACTGCATGTTGCTCTCCGTAGTCGTCTTCTCATTCTACACAGGCGCGAGGATATTAAAGTAAGACTTTGTAATAGTAGAGTAGTAATTGAGGATTGGTATATTTTTCATTTTTTTAGTTCCTACCAAAAAAAGTTGTTACTAAGACGGCCAAGAAAAAAACCTGGAAAATGTTTCGAAGTTTCTGAAATAGCGAGGATAATGTGAACATTTTGTTTGACAACTGTTGCTGTATCTCTAAAAATATAGTGGTGGGGGGTTGACAAATGCTTCTGTAAAAAACATCCTGTGTCTTCGTAGCAGCAGAACCGATTTTGACAAACTTCAGCTAGTTGAAAAAATACAATCCTTAGACTACAAATGTTCTAAAAAAAATTAAATGCATTGGTTCGATTTTTTCTATGAAAAAGTAGCTAGATGATGTCTAAACAAGCCGCATCTCGATATCTTGTTCCTAACCTAGAATTTAAGGTTTTATAGGGAAATCCTTCATATTTTTATTTTTTCAAACTGATTTTTCTGTAATTCTTTTTATTCATCAGAATAAAATCACCGTTTTTGAAAATATTGACAAAACCATTCCAAAAACAGGTTTACAAAAGTTCTGTTAAAATAAGCCAGCATAAACCGCGATTTTGGCAACAGATGGCACCCTATGCTGTCTTATATCTCAGATTGAGGTTAGTTGCTATTTTCGTTCGTTGTTCTGACCTGAGACGATGCTGATGAGTTGCCAAACAGCACAAAACATCTATTAATGGTTGACTGTGATCTAACGGACAAAACCGGTATATTTCATAGAGACATATCGATGACTTTGCTTCAATCAATAGCAAGCCCTTGTTCAGCGGACTCGAAATGATGACAGTTTTCTCGACGATTGACCAATAAATACTTGACTTCCCCCGACAGTTGTACCTGTCCTTCCAGTTCTTAGCCCCTCTGGTGAAAGCAGCAATGGATGTCCCGAAATATGGACCGATCACAGCTCTGCCTCTAACCAGTTGACGCAGCTTTTTATCCGCTACCTACACCGTTTTGTGTCGCGTGCCTTTACCCATTCCCAACACCTCCAACCTCGTCCCGACGTGTCTTTCTCTGAATACGCTCCGACCCGAGACCGATGTCTGTTACATGGGAGACTCTAATGAATCAAACGTTGGAGATCTGTCCGCGGACAGATAACGGCGACAGGTGTTCGCTTGTACAGATTTATAGATACGCCATTAACGTCATCCCAGGGTTTGTATAACAAGCTTCGGCGTATGTGTATGTGGATATGTGGTATGATGCTGGCCGATAGACGTTTCCGCGTGAGAATGCCGTGTTTCTGTCGCCCAGGGTTTTTCTGCGTCCCTGTTTCCGCTTGTTCCAAGAGCGGCTTAGATTTATGCTTGGTTTGTCGATATTTGAAGGAACGTTTGCATTTTTTTGCCATAATGACTCTTTAATGCTAGAGGTCTAGTTGATATACAGGATAGGCCGAAAACCATTGAGGTCCTGTTTCGTTCCCATACAAATTAACAAAGAGTTCATTACAAACAGTAGGGTGGTGACTAGCGGTATTCCCCAGCGTTCCGTCTTGGGACCTTTCCTGTTTCCCTTATACATATCGGATCTTCCTCGTGTCATATCTTCCACTTGCTCCTTGTATGCTAACGACACAATATCTCCAGTGCCTATGATGATATCCTTCAACGCGACATTGATAATGATTACGAATGGTCCAGAAGATGGCTGCTGCCCCTCGGACAAGTGCTGCGTTCTAAAGGTTGGAAAGAACAATCCTAAGATCAGCTACGTCATTGGGAACCAAGAAATCTCCTCTGTCTCCAGTCACATAGATTTGGCAGTTGCTCATGATCCGAGCATATCCAATACTCACCTACTAAGGCCAAAAGGAGTCTGTGCGTTATTGAAAGATCCCTTGAAGGCTGTGACAGTTCTACTGCTGGGCGTATCTACACGTCATATGTTAGGCCAATGATGAAAAGTTCAACAGAAAACCATTGAGGGCCCATATTTAATGTGCATGAGATAGACAGAAAGAGAAAACGTATGAAGCGTGCTCGACACCAAGGAGAACGCGTCTGTGGATACTGCAAATTAACAAAGAGTTCATTGCAACCAGTAGGGCGATCACTAGCGGCATTCCTCAGCGTTCCGTCTTCGGACCTTTGCTGTTTCCCATATACACATCGAATCTTCCTTGTGTCATATCTTCCACCTGCTCCTTGTATTCTAACGACACAATATCTCCAGTGCCTATGATGATATCCTCCAGCGCGACTTTGATAATGTTTACGAATGGTCCAGAAGATGGCTGCTGCCCCTCGGACAAGTGCTGCGTTCTAAAGGTTGGAAAGAACAATCCTAAGATCAGCTACGTCATCGGGAACCAAGAAATCTCCTCTGTCTCCAGTCACATAGATTTGGCAGTTGCTCATGATCCGAGGATATCCAATACTCACCTACTAAGGGCAAAAGGAGTCTGTGCGTTATTGAAAGATCCCTTAAAGGCTGTGACAGTTCTACTGATGGGCGTCTGTACACGTCATATGATGAAAAATTCAACAGAAAACCATTGAGGGCCCATATTTAATGTGCATGGGAGAGACAGAGAGAGAAAACGTATCAAACGTGCTCGAAACCAAGAAGAAGGCGTCTGTGGACACTGCTTGCGCTTCCGCTCTAACATAGGTGCATCTCTCCCATACAAATTAACAAAGAGTTCATTGTCAACCAGTAGGGCGTTCACTAGCGGCGTTCCCCAGGGTTTCTTCTTGGGACCTTTGCTGTTTCCCATATACACATCGGATCTTCCTTGTGTCATATCTTCCACTTGCTCCTTGTATGCTAACGACACAATATATCCAGTGCCTATGATGATATCCTTCAACGCGACATTGATAATGCTTACGAATGGTCCAGAAGATGGCTGCTGCCCCTCGGAGGAGTGCTGCGTTCTAAAGGTTGGAAAGAACAATCCTAAAATCAGCTACGTCATCGAGAACTAGGAAATCTCTTCTGTCTCCAGTCACATAGATTTGGGAGTTGTATCAGATAGTCTATCTAAAAGAAGTCTATACCTTATTCAAAGATCCTTTAAGGGCTGTGACAATTCTTCTGCGTAACCAACTCTATGTTTAATTTCTTATCTCTGTTTGGAGTTTATGGCTTTTACTTAACTGCTCTAGTATGTATAATAATATAAATATAATGTGAGACCTCAGTGATATTCTGCCAATTTTGTACATATGAGTGGGTAAAACGAACTAGGTGGTCATCAGTAAATCCCACCACTAAACTGGCAGATTTGGAATTTGTTCAACCAACTCACACAAGAAAGAAGTTTTCATCCATATTTTTCTTGGGCTTCGTTAATAGTTGGAAATACAGCTCACAGTTCTATCGAAAACAGAATATTTCCAGAGTAAATGGCCTCCAGATTCGGATTCAGCGACCATGGAGCATGGTTGGACTTACACTCCTGACTTCCCACGCAACTGGGGAGGAAGTATTTTAAACACGATAAAATTCGGAAAGGATGTATGTTTTTCGGATTCCATATGACATGTAGGTAGATCACAACGTTGCCAAGTCTGTTGAAATTTCACCTGATCTGGTGGTGAATAATCTGGTGAGTGGTGAAAAACTTTTTGTAAAATGGTAATTTATGGTGATTTTTGAAGTATCATCGATTTTGAGTATTTATAAGAATCTTCCAGCTACCAAAAACTCGAAGAAAATTTACAACAGTATTTTCCTTATTTTGGTTTCGGTTTTTGTCATGTCGTTTCGTCGTGAACACGTTATCCATTATCTGATAATCTATGAACGCCTCATCGCTTTTTTATGATTTATAATTTTCATCCTATTAAACTGATATAGTTCGTCTGTACATTTTTAAATTTGTAAGATAAAAAGTAAGTAATTAATATTGTAAATAATAGATTCAAATTTCTGGTGAATATCACTTTTTTGACACCTGTTCAACCATGAAGCCGTAACACATTCTAAGCTGGGCTGTTGATGGAGCGAATGATCCACTTTCTGTTTAAAACCAAGAGTTTTCTGCTTACTCTAGGAGCCGCTCCGATATATAAGAAACTAGTCTCTAACATTTTACGAGTATAACTATTTGATATAACTATCAATTCTCTCAGATATAAATGATTGTATCAGGTCAGAGGAGTCGAGTAGTGGCTGGTCGTTGAAAAAGAGCAGACGTGAGACATAAACATCCATGGTAGATCGCGCAGTCTACAACCTATCATCACCTCCTTGGTTGATCACCGGCTACCATCTAGACCAGCGAGCGTGGGCGATCCAAGATACTACTGAGATACGAAAATAGCATCGAGGCCTGCTTACTGCGGTTGGATGTTCCCAGCTCGATGCGATATCGCGATTAGGACGATTAGCTCGAGGCAGCGGCGACTCGTCTGAGGAGGTGTAACTAAACTGGTGCAAATCTTGGAATCTCCATATTTTCGGAACGGAAAGAAATATCAAGTTGCAGTATTCAGGAGGTTCTTGACCAACTCTTTGAGAACACATACAGGGTTTTACCAGTATATCTCTTTTATTTATCCATTTATACAGGGTGAGTAAAGGAAGTCATGTTTTTCAGCAAGATTCTCAATTTTTGATCTTGGAAATTTTTCTTTGCATCGTTTTAATCTTTGAACTATTCTAAAAAAGTGATATTCAACATTTTTCAAAAGCTGACTATAACTCAAATTAACTAAGTATCTGGTTGCACTGGAATATGTCACTGGCTATTGACATCTGACAAGTCTCTGTTGTTCAAATCTATTCGCTGTGACATCTTTTTCATTATTTAGTTTTTACATTCTTGTTAATAATGGTGAATTATTCAAATGCAGAAATGGCGGAAATGCATTAAGTAAATGGCCTTGCCGACGGTAATGGTGAGCAAGCCAGACGGATTTATCACCAGAGATATCCCGATCGTGCTTTGCCAGATAGTCGAACCTTTTCTAATATTCTTCGTCGTCTTGTTGAAACTGGTTCTGTCCGAAAAGGAACATCTGAAGGTACACTTCTAAGTGTGAGGACACCTGAAATTAAGGGAGCAGTGCTGCACGAAGTCGAAGAACGTCTTGAAACGAGTACGAGGAAGATCGCTAGACACTTAAATATTTGCCATCAAATTTTTTGGAGAATCTTAGTGGAAGGAGGGCGGAAGCATGATACTAAGTGAAGGGGGGCCATTTTCAACAATTTTTGTAATAATTTCGTTGGTTTTAATGTTATATTTACGTTGTCAGTTGTTGTCGTTAATTACCCCTAAAGTGTTTAATTTTTCCAATTAAATTAATAATAATTTTGAAAGTTAGACAATAGAACAGTTTTTATTTTTTTACTCAAAAACGGCGCATCGAAGGAAAACAATTCTAGATAGATCATTTGTTTTAAATTGAACGGGGAATTCAAAAAGATTTTTATTTGGCAAAAAACCATTGTCGTACCATTTTCTTCCTAAAAAATATCGAAGTCAATAGCCGTGCGCACGCCACTGTTAAATTTAAAAATTATTTTTGCGTTGAAAAATATGCAAGTTTATTAACTTTCACTACGTACTAAATGTCAGTGAAATATCGGAAGCGGTTCTGAAATAGTAATTAATTTCCCTTTTTTTCCTAAAACTAATATTGCTTTTTCATGTAGATGCACACCCTTAAATATTCGCATATCATTAAGGAACACCCTGTGCGTCTTTCGGATCGACTTCGTATTGGGCCTTAAAATTTTTGTTAATATTAATTAATAAATCCTTTGACGTTATTCAAACATTTAATAGAGTCTATTACCTATTGGAAAATATCTCCAATGGAGACGCGTACGCTAATGCTGAATGAGAAAGATGAAAAATTCTAGATAAAGATTAATAGCAGCGCTGGCTAGCATTTTGAAATTTTTTTTCATGTTACTGGTACTTCTTACCAAACCAAAAAGTGCTTTTCGTGTTACGCCACTGGAATACACCCCCATTTTGAGAGTAGTAACTTGGATTTGTAGATTAAACTGTTTATTTGCATAGTAAACTTTATAAACTCGATTTAAATTACATAATGTCAAAGTTTTACTGCACGCCACTGGAGGCAATAACGTTCAATGAGTGCTTCAATCTTTTCTGGGGCGCAAGAAATTCCGCTTTATGCAACAAACAGTGTGAGAAAACATATCCATCCTCTAGAGAAACCCCAAAAAAGTCCACTTTTTAGGGATAAATGTATAACACTTCTTTAAAATTCTTCTAAAAATTTGAGAAATTTCTCTTTTCAAGATAGTCCAAAGATCAGAAAGATGCATAAAAAAAATTCCAAGACCAAACATTGACGATCTGACACTGTCCCAAACCTGACTTAGTTTGCTCACCCTGTATAAGTGGATAAATAAAAAAAAATACAAAAGTCGAACCCTGTGCGTGTTCTCAAAGAGTGGAACCTCCGAATACCGCATCTCGATATCTCTTTCCAGTCCGAAAATATCGAGATTTGAATTTGAGCGAAATTTGCCATGTTGCCAAACAGCGGTGCACCAGCTTAGAAAGAAAAATATTAAACCTAGTTAAGTAGATATGATTTGTGGCTTCCACCAAAAAAATATTTGAGGTGCCCCCCTTCCGTTTCGGGCCGGCTACGCCCTTGCGCTGTCTACAGCCGAAACGAACATTTCTAAATAAAAGTAAACACAGTTACACAATCGTCACAACACACCGGACGAGGCGCACTGCCAGAAACGAAACGATACCGCGTTGTCGGCGGCGATACGAACCAAGTTGGTTTGTCTGGTGTTCGGGAGGTCGTGCCGTGTAAAAGTGCGCGGCCAATAGGATGTCAAGGCACACGACCAAGGCGTGACATACCGATCCTGCGGCGGCAACAGCGCCAACGGAGCGGCAATGCGGCGACGCTACTCGGAATCACTCATAATAAATATTCATATAGCTCGTGAATAGTCTAGTAAAGTACAGTATATTCAGATAAGAGATAGACCGGATGTAAACAAAAGGTTCGGGTGATTTTCACGCTAACGCCGCCGTCTCGACGTAAAACAGGAGCCCTCATTGGTCAATTCGCAATTAAATGCCTATGCCGAGCGGCACTGCAGTCGTATCAAGGCAGAGTCACATTCAGGTTCAGACGTGTTACGTATGTCGTGTGCATCATTGAAATTTGATATTTCTTTGGACGTTTTCGTTTGTTATCTTATTAAGTTGTTGAGTTTGTCGTTGTTATTGTTATACCTTGTTATAATTATAGGCTAATTTATACGCCATTTTGAGATTATATTCGACTGTATTTCACCAAACATCAGACGGCATCCGAAGCTGGAAATCGAAGCGAAAATTTTGAAACCCTTATGTATATTTACATCATTATATATTTCTTACCCCACCCCCACATGATCCTATATCCATCACCAATCGTATACACATCGAATTATGCTAATTTACTACAAAGTTACGCAAAGCAGCATCTACTATCTAAAATATGTACTGCGTGACTCTTAATACGTCCCTGCCGAATGTTACAGCGTTCGATGATCACGTGGTCTTGTTTATGTCCGGTCTATCTCTTATCTGAATATACTGTAGGCAAAGCGTTAAATCACAGCCACCCACAAATCATCGCCGGGCAAAGCGAGCCCTAGGTAGGGTAATGTGCCAGTGGTCGACAACCTTTTCAGCTTGTTGAGCTACTTTGATAATTTTTTTGATGGAATAGTAATAAGCAATGTAAGAAAACTTGAATGAAATTATATATTATAATAATAATAATAAATGGGCTGTATTTCGTACCTAAGTAAAAGTACAAAAAAGGCGAAGTGTCGTCAAGATTAGCGTTTTGCAACTTGACCTTTGAAAGAACAAAAAAAATATATATAATAAAACATTCCACCAATAAAAATGTATCCATAATCCTCAATAATTACTAAATAATTAACAACACAAAAAAAAACAATTACAAGAATAGTCCATATTTCTAGCATTTTGTATTCATCATCAGACATGGACTTGTAGTTTTAGTTTAAGCCTCTTTTTAAAATTAAATAACGTATAGCGTTGTAGCTGAATGATTTTTTGTAGACAGCCTTAGAATGTAAGGGTATCACTAACATATTCCTATTCCTTGTATTCAGTTGATTTTTGTCACTACATCGTGTTAACTTATTATGCAAATATTGTGGTTGTATGGTAGCTAAGACCTTATGTGTGAGTGTCAATAAGTGAAGTTTTTTCATTCCTTTAATCTGCAGAATACCAAGTTTCTCAAATTTATAAGAAATATGATCAAACTTTCGTATTCCGCAAGAAAATCTGACGCAAGAATTCTGAATACGCTATAATTTGCTTTGTTCACTATATGGTAGAACGGGGCCGTATTTACTGTCACAATAACTGATCTTTGATATAATTAATGTTTCATACAGTTTCAGCTTTACTGAACTAGATATTATTTGCCTATGTCAGTGCGGCTCGTGGCAAAATAAACCAGGTGTTCTGCAAATGCGAACTTACCTATTTCTTATATGTCAGTCAGACGTCTTCTAGCCTTGTTGAGCAATTGAATTGTTAGATTAGGAAAGAAAGTTGCTGAAAGGTATGGAAGGTGACTGTAATCCTACAATTGGAAAAATTAGAGGTGCCATTCAGGTTGGTAGTGATCAAGAAGAAGGAAGTGAACTATATACCGAGCGCAGTGAGCAAACAGTTAGTGTTACAGCGCCAGCAATTCAGAAGACATTGCCACCAAAAAGAAAATTAGCAACAGAGAAATACGAAACTGAGGAAACCAAAGGGTTAACTACAAAAGAACTGCAACGTCTATTGCTATTACAGCAGTACCAAACAAGTATTTTACAACAAGAGTATTATAAAACGAAATTAGAAATGATGCAGCGTCAGAAGCCACCTATAACTTATGATGTTCACGAAAATAAAACTTATTATAACGTATAAATACACTTTAATCAGTAAAACTATTTATTATAATACTCTAGTTTCTTCTTATTTGTTGACCTAGTTGGTGGAGAGGAAGTTCGTCATTCTCACGATTTCCTTCATCTTCATCTGCTTCTAGTTCAACTAACTCAAAGTCAGGATCGCCCAAGCTCTTCGCGACATTATGGAGTTACACTACAAGCAATAATTATTTTCGGCAGATTTTCCAACTTGACGCGGCAAACTTACTGTTGGATAGGAAACCGGCGTTTCAGTTGGTCGAAACAGCGTTCAATTATAACTCTTTCTTGTTTTAAAAGCTTATTATAATTTATTTCTGCACCTGGAGTAGGATTTCTGAAGGGAGTCATAAGGCATGGCTCAATACCATTACCGTCATCGCCAAGTCGTACAACATTTGCTTTATTTATTAGTTGTGATCTAGTCAGTGAATTTCTCCATATTCTGGAATCATGCACTGATCCAGGCCAACTGACATCAACACTTGTGAACATCTCTCTGGCATCACAAGTGGCTTGCACATTTAAAGTAGGTTTCCCTTTTCGGTTGATATACTCATCTCCTTGGCGATTTGGTTTCAGGATTCCTATATGTGTACAATCAATTACACCAATCGCTGTCGGGAATTTGGTAGTTGGAAACTTGATCCACAGTCCGAGATACCGTTGCTTGACTAACACCAAGTGTCTGACCAATACCTTGTTGATATCCAGCGTCACCGAGACAGCGTAGACGTATCTTCATTTTATGATTACACGAAGGTGCTCTTCCTCGAGTTTCCTCATTCTCAACTAAAAATCTGTCCGCAAGCCATTGTACATTTGCTTCGTCGAACCGATATAATTTTTTGAAGTCACGACCATGTGGAAGTAAACGAGGTTTGTACGTTTTAACATCCCTATCATCCACAATCCATCATCGTTTGACCACCTTTCGTTACGAAATTGAGTCTGCTACTGACCACACTCAGAATTTTTGAAGGATGCCAAGTATTAGGTGAATATTACGAATATCCTTTTACATATGCACTGCTTTGAAGGATATGCTTAGACTCAAAAAGCAAAAGCATTTACTTCAAATTATTTGCAGGTACAAGGATGTCCTTTGTTTTACGAATACGGCTCAATGTCAAATTTTAACGGATGTATGTGTGTGGGTCGTTCTCTGATAGTTGAACTATCTGCTCAACGTCCAGTTAACGTAAAACAGCAGGTAGTCTTCCGGAGCTCCTTGATTATGAACCTTATTAAAGTATTAATTACCATACTATACATTCTGTTTTATGTTTTAGCACGTCTATAATTATAACAACTTTTAACATAAAGTAATCAGACGCACTGCTTTACATACGCAAATGTAACATCTGCAATGAACCTAATTATCTAATGAAAGTTTATATTACAAACAACATCCACATGTAAAGTGGGGTAATATGGAAACACTAATTTAAAAAGCTCACATTCTAACAAGCAACCAATCCAAACACAAGGAGACGGCGGCATCTCAGAGCATGTATATTTGAGTATGTGACGTAAATGCTCGTTGATATAATTCCAGAGTGAAGGATGGTTAGAAGCAAAAATGTCGAATGATACGCTTTGGCCATATTGCCCCTATGGGCAATATAGCATCATGCTTTGGGGAATATGGCAACATGCTCTCCTCGTAAAAATTTAACACCTTTTTTTAGATTAGAAAAAATATATAATATATACTAATTGACATATAAATCCCAACACCCAGTTTAAATGGTTTTATTTTAATAAAATTTTGTATAAGTACTTAATGAAGCATAATAAGTAAATGATAAAAATTTCAAAATGATTGCACTGCTTTAAAGCCCTTTGACCTTTAATAATGTGTGGATGCACCCTGATGTGCTACGCATTCGCCAACGCACCTAGGCATGCTTCTGATCAGGTGGTCAATGTCCTCCTGTGGTATCTCATTCCAGGCAACCACCAACTCCTCTCGAAGTGCTTCTAGAGTCTGAGGAGGACGTTGCAAATTGAGCAATCTCCTACCCATCATATCCCACACGTGCTCAATTGGGGATAAGTCGGGAGATCTTGGTGGCCATGGTAACAATGTGACATCATTATGTTGAAAGAAGTCTATTGTGACTCTTGCAACATGTGGTCGGGCATTATCTTGTTGGAAAGTTGGATCTGCCAGGGTGTCAAGATAGGGTAAAAGATGGGGTTCTAGAACTTCGTGGATATAACGCTGCGCGTTCATGTTACCTCTGATGAAGATTAAAGGTGACCTGGAACCATAAGCTATAGCACCCCAAACCATAACTCCAACAGTGTGATGAACATGTCTTTCGACAAAAAACTGTGGATTCCTCCATTCACCACGTCGCCTTCTAACCCTGGCACGACCATCCTGCATGCCTAAACAAAATCGAGACTCGTCACTAAAGACAATAGGGCGATTACGTCGGTGTTCTCGAGTTAAAGGGAGGACCCAGTGTGGACGGTATGAAAACAAGCCAAAACTTCTCATTCGTCAGTAAACACTTCGCATGCCAATAGGTCTTTCGTGTTCTGCAAACCATTCATTTGCAATGGACCTGGTAGTGGAGAAACGGTGCCTTAAGGCCAATAATCTTAGGCGGCGATCTTCAAGGTCTGTTGTTCTACGGCGGCGTCCAGTGCCCCTTGCTCTTTGCGTACAGCCTTCTCGAAGCCATGCCTGACAACACCTAACCACAGTGTCTACACTTCTTTGCACTCTAACTGCAATTGCCCGAAAAGAAAGTCCAGCTTCCCGAAGTCCCACTATACGGCCCCTATCAAACTCACTAAGTTGACGAAATCGTACAGGTCTCCGTACTCTAGGCATCGTAACCGATCGTAAAGGATGTCAAGAACCAAAATTCGCCAACGTTGATTCTTTACTGCGGCTGAAATATTCATTTTTAGAGCGTTAGTGAATTAAAAAAAAGCAGTATAAAAACCGGAATGTCCAACTGATAAGGCTGAAAATTTTTTCACTTGTTATTTACAGTAAGATAAATACATTCACCAACTTTTATTAAAATAAAACCATTTAATCGGATTTATATGTCACTTAGTATATAATCCTTACGACATACTTGCTAGTTGATTTAGTGGAACACAATCGCTACAATAGATGGTATGTCTGACCACAGCCGATGTCAACTACGAGCCGTGAACAAAGAAATCTGGCAACGTAGGTGGTAGTGCTACTCCCACCGCTGCTTGCTGCATCGACGCAACTCGTGCTCAAAACGCTGAGAAAACATAACCTTTTCAATTTGTGATTTTGGAATCCCAGAGGCTGTAATTAAGAGATAAGCTTGTTTTCTAAGCTTCAAAGTGTGTGTATGTGTTCAAAGTGATCGGTGACTATAATATATGAGAAATAGACTCCAGTTGTAGTGCTTCTGTGCTTTAAAAATAAACTAAGAAGTGTGACTGTGGCTGTTCGCGCCTCATTACGCTAAGGATTTCAACTATTGAAAACGTTGTGGTCTGAACCCAATCACGGCATTTTTAGCGTTGCAACCAATCACATTTGGGCCGTTTCTTTATCAACTAGTATCCACCACATTGGGCACAAAATTCTGATTCATCATGTTCCAATTCTGAGTCCACACTCTCTACTGTACGCATATCACCCCACATTGTACCTTACCGAAAAGTGGCAACATCTATTCTAGATACATTTAACGGATTGTTCCGCCAAAAAAAGTTAGGTTGGGAATCGTATGTCTCTTGTTAAAATTGGATTAAAAACACTTACAACTTCTTTTATCACTGAGAATAACTTCACTTGAGGATCTTTTTTAAACGATCCTCTGACGATATTGGATGAAAACTAATTAATTTGACTTCTGAGGTATCCACAGAAGATTTCTACATAAGAAGAACGCGTTAAAACTAACACTGTTGCCAAATATAGGCTTAAGACGTCTGTATCCTTTCCATCATCAAGCAATGTTGCCAAGTCGAATCGGAGTAATTTTTTCATGGAATCATCCTTAAGTCTTCTAAGGAAGGATCCACCTCAACCTCCCGCGTGAGTTTTTTAACGACGAAAATAGTCTAAGAAGGGGCAACGCTGGCGCCTAAAGACGGTGGTCGATACGCATATGCCGAGTGTAATAGAAGTAACGGTACGGCTCTGTATCCTTTCAGGTAAGATATTTTGACAAAGATCAAGGTTGTGTCTATACTAACCTTGAACAAGAAGTTCAATGGTGACATTGTGTTTGACCTTGAGCCTCCCCATTTTAAGGGCACAGGGGAAAAAAGGTGAATGTCACAAATTTGGTTTGGTTTGTAGCTAGAACCACCCAAAAACAATAACAGATAACAGCCCGTAGTTACACCCAATTGAAAACTTGCCGTGCAGGGAAAAAAAATGAATGCCACAGCAGTTGTATGAAAAAAGATGAACGTCCACAAAGAAGTAAACGTTAAGCAATCATTTTTAAGCAGTTACCATTAATTTTGTTTTGTTTGTTCTATATTCTTTTGAATAAAGCTATTTTTCATGTCCCAATTGAAAAAATACGTAGAAACAATTCTTGGTTTGAGCTGTTGAGGTTAGAAAATCACCTTTTTCCCATGTTCTAGGCTTTGTGTAATACATTTCCTGTTAAGGCTGTTCTCATATTAGAATAGATCTTAAACCTAAGACAGGCATTTTGATGTTAAACCAACCTGTACCTTTTACAGGGTGTCGCATACGATGAAAGGCTCATTTCTAACCTCAATGTCTCAAAAAAAGTTGAATACAGGCATGGACGCTAACACATGGGATATGCTTAAAATTATAAGGAGAATCTCAAAATACAAAAAGGATTTTCAAAAAAAAAATATTTGGTCTGCTTTCACTTTTGGGCTAAAAATATTTATTCTTGATTTAACTTTTTTTCAATTCCCTATACACTCCGTTCAGATCTTTGATTCACTCTGTACAAGGAGTCCATTAAGTTCTCGAAATTTACTTTATGTGACATCCATCTTTTTTCCCCTGTACCCGTCATTTGTTTTACTTTCCACGCCTCTGACGAGAACAGAAACGTTTTTCTGCCAATTTTTATCCCCAGTCGACAACCTAATAATCTACAATCCAACTACCAGCATCTGCCTCGAAGAAATGTAATTATTTTTACCAACTATTCTAGAAACGCATGTACCTGAAGATGGCGCTTATTGTCGCCGAAACGTCGTATTTTTAACAAATGTTTTGGGTCCCAAGAATTCATAATTTGAACAGATACCAATAGTCAGGGAATACAAAACTGCAAAGCAATACGTTAGTGATGACTGGATTCGTTTTAATTTTGATCATACTTTATTTGTAGTTCAATTTTAGAATAAATCGCAAATTAACATTGTCAATTGTTATCCTCGAGTGGTGAGGGTCAAATTTGAAACTCCCTGTATAGCCAAACATTGCAACGAAAACATCGCTAGTTTTAAGACTTGATTAAGAATAGCCAATTTCGAAACTCCAGAGGTGCTTCCTAAATAATCATACATTCAAAAGACATCTGATCAGCTGATAAAGGTAGTTCTTATCCGCGATTCTGTTTTTTTTATTCCATTGCACGCCAACAGTTGCGTGCTGTTATTCAGCATGCATACGGTTGTACCGGCGAGTAGTACCAATAAACGAGATGTGGACTAGAGATCATGTTACGAGAACCAACTGGAATTAGCGCGAATTTGCTTGTTCTGTGCTGCTCGAGTACCACAAGC